GCCCTGAAAGGGGCGTGTGTCGGGGCGTGAAAAGCATCCGCATGAACGTCATGCGCTCTCACGTGAGAGATGTGCTACTCGTACTCTGGGGTTGGGTTACCGCTAGTACAGATTTCTAGCTGTATCAAGGTCTTGACCCAACTCGAAAGAGCGGGCCACGAGTTAAGCTGCTTCTTGACTTCTTAAGTCCATGATAAATAACAATGCATGGAGAGCATATTTAGGCGCAGCACTAAATATGCTGAGGGGGGGGGGAAGGATCTGTACTTTTGCCACTTCCCACTGACGTATCCAGCCATCAGGCGGATACCCGTGAAATCTTGTGAAAGCGCGAAATGATAGCGGTCAAGGTTCGAAAGAACCACTTGTCCCCTCTTGTAAAGAGTACCGGTCAACTTTAGTGAAGCAGTAAAGTACAATACAAATGCCATTCACCATGGCGACTCGACGAGCTTGCTCCAGCTTCGCAAAAGCACAGGTTCACCAAAGCGAGACTTGTAAGCAGATCTAGTGGAGCAGCGACAGGGCAAAATGCTTTCCTTCCTCACTCCCTCCCCCTCCGTCGCCGAACTGCCCGAAGGCTTGATCGAAATTATAATACACGAATGAAAAATGCACGCTCGTCTGAAACCAACCAAAGCAAAAGTATGGAATAAAGTCGAAGTAATGGGCGATTTCTCAAAATCACAGAATCCAAAGGAATCATTCACTTCCGATACAGTACCGCTGGCTGTCAGATCTTTGCCTTAAGCTTATCGTTCGAGATTTAACACGTTCCGGACCGCGTGACACACATGGTGTGTCATACTTTTTTCTTTCTGCGCCATTTCATACGGTCTATTTGGCATCTTATTCATGCTCCGAAGGTATCAGAACACGTTTTTAGGCACAGAATACAAATATCTCGTAGAAAAGTGAAATAAACAGATGAAATTGCTGATGATCGGTTTGAAAAGTAACGAAATTACGCAGAGATCCTCGCACAACGGCGGTCCGGAATGTATTAAATGAGCCGTCAAAATCTGACAAGAAAGCAGCTCATCTCTATATTATTATCTAAGCTGTGTGTGTTGCGGAGTGTGTATTATTGTCGTGGTGTGGGCTATTATTCTGTTTTGAATTGTTTCTACGCCTATAAGAAAAGTGCTCCTTTTATCCCAATTCAACGTGGAAGATGTGACTAAGCTGTAACTACAGTTTCACGAAAAACATCGGACCAAAACTAGACTGTTTTGATGCACTTGTAGTTGTTGCACATATACTCGAAATCCTTGAGAACTGGTAGGCGTGGCTGCGTACTTCAAGTAAACGTGGCGATTAGCTGTTTTTTGTGTTGGAATAACATTTGATTGACACAATTGTGGTCGTGAAGCAGAACAAGATGACAGTTGTGTCAAACTGAAATATTCCACGAGTAACCCATCCTATGCCAAGTTCAAAGGCCACGCCTACTCCGTCTCAGGGATAAGGACTGTGCATCACAACGAAAGAATCCTGCCTTTCTTCACTTGAAACAAAGTGCACTCGAGGTTTACTTTGGAAACTCAGCGATGAGATATATTTGAAGAGGAAGTCAATCTGCCTCGGAAGCTGTACATTCTTCTGCTCCCGAGGCGCCTATCTTTCGACACAGTATAAACGAGAAATCAATCGAAATAAAGTGTACACCGAAAATCCCCTAAACTACAAACCAATGCCCTTTATGTATAGTAAGTTTTCAAAGAACAAAATGTAATCGTAAAATGAACATGTTCGATGTGTTAATAGCGGGTCCGTTCGGTCAATGTGGGCTGGGGGAAATCGAATCTGTTTGCTGTATGGGGTGCGATTGAGGGTGGGGGTCGAATCAATCGACGAGCGACGATGGACGGCTTGTCATTGCCGCGCTCTGTTTGCACGCATACCATTCCGAGGAACGAATTCGACGCTTTTCTGACTGGTTTAGTCCAACTAGACTCTGGTTCTTCTTCTCCCACTTCACTTCCCAGCTTCTCTTCACGCTCATGCTCGCCAAATGTGATCTCAGTCTCGACGAATTGGAGATGTTTGTGCTCGCATCTCTTGTCAACACACTTGAGGAACACCTTCACACGACGTCGATGCGACGGACAAACAAGTGGACAGTTGAATGATGTGCCGACCAAAATGACCACGACCACATGCACGTACCTCTCATTCCTTGTCGATGACGAATTGCCTCTTTCTGTTTTGACGATTGGCGCCGCCGCTTTCTGAAATGAGCTTTTCGAGACACAACAATCAATTAACAAGCACAATAACTACTTCATTTCCTATCTATACATCGCAAGAACCCGGTCTCTCCCCTTGAAGGCAAACCCCGTGATTGCATATTGTGGGTAGTGGCGTTCAGTAAGAACATGCAGTCGCTAAGCGTCTCTCCAGGGAAGAAAAATCAAAGGAAATCATAGGCAGGGTACAGCATCGTTGTGTCAAACCCATGGGGGGGGTCGTACTTTTGCTCTGGGGAGGGGGGTCGTATTTGGAAGACAAATTTATTTTGATAGTTGATTTTTTCTTGTGGAAAAGGGGGGTCGTATTAATTTTTTTATATGCACTATATGCATTGGGGTCGTGCCTGGACCCTTTCGAAGGGGGAGGAGGTCGTACTCACACCGACATTTCGCACATCCCCGTGCTGTACCCTATCATAGGGTAGGCATTATGACCCGGTAGCCTCATTTTGGGTTGACGCACCCGCTCTTTTCCGCAAAAGTGGTTTGGGACCAAAAACAACAGAGAGGATGCCAGCCAAAGCGATTCCTGCCGATTGGCT